TAGAGTTAGTAGTAATTTTATTAGTAGCAACTAATGAAAACAATAGTGTAAACTAAAATGCTTATACTGACTATTGCTTTCATTAGTTTACTATTTAGACTGGATGCATGTTCTAGAATTACTCCTAATTTACAGAGTCTAGGATGCCAACTTAAGTACCTAATTTTTAAAAAATACCATTGCAGAAACTGTACACCGTGTGTGATGTTGCCATGAATATCATCATGTCAAAGAGCACCACATACAGTTTGGAATCTCCTAAAGACCCAGTCCTACCAGCTCGTTTTTTCACTCAACCTGACAAGGTAGTTGCTTTAGAATTTGTGTAAGTTGAAATAAAATGCATTCTCAGCACTAGCTTTTGAGAAGATGAGGAAGTATCAGTATCAAGAGCTGGCCCACTGCCGTTGAGCTGGAAAGATTGCCATGAGTCTTAAAAATGTGGTTCAAGACCAAAATATGGGCCAAAATGGAGAACACAAATAAGGTTCAGAGATTAGTTAGGATGATCTAGTAGTGTTTATGTTCAGTTTTAAGCCAGTCTGAAGGCACAAGCAAAAATGTGATTAAAACATGTGGATTTATGGATTAATGGCCATTGTCCAAAATGGGAAGGAGAATGCTGACAGAGATACAGTTTGAAGTTAAAAGTCCTTGATGGGATATAAAATTGGTGTGAGGAAACTAGTTTAGAACAGACACTGGAATAGGCCCAAGACCGTAGGAACACTGCAAGAGTGCTCCCAAACTACTCTCCAACAAACTCAAGTGTTATATGAGATGTAAAAGGTATTTTCCACAGTCCTTCTTACTCCTTCATAATTTATCTAATCCCTCATAATTTACCTGAGCACACTGAGTAACAGAGTCTGGAAACCACCACTATCCTCTTCTGGTTTTTGAAGCAAAATGCCAATCACAGTCTTCAGTGTATAGGAATTTGGAACAGCCTTGTAGGTTTACTCAGTAGCTAAGATGGCTGTCTGTTTTTAAGCATTCACCTTTGTTTAAGCAAGATAACAGGAGTATATGTGGTCTCTTCCCTGGAGGGTTTTATTATAGAATCATGTGTTTTCTGATGTGCTCTTAGAGTGCTAGCATGTTAGTACTCAAATATGTTTTGTTAACATTGGAGTTGGTAGGAGGTTAGTTTAAGCTTATTAAAGCAGTTAAAATCAGTGACTGAAATTTTGTGTTTAAACTCATTATTTAGTTTAAATAAATATGTACTTTATTATGTACTTTAAAACAAAAAACTGCTCTATGCTTTGTTGGCTTTTGAACCACCTCATAGATACAGTGTTTTAATATTCACTGACTACTTCTTTTTCCCTTGCTTGTAGAATTTCAGTAACACCAAAAATTATCTGCCTCCAGAAATGAAATCGTTTTTCACTCCTGGAAAAGTATGTTTTGAGAATTATTTTAATTTTTATGTGGTAGTTTATTTTAGTGTGAATATTGGCA